GAGTGTGTCTGTAGAGAGAGTGTCTGTAGCCACGTCTGTAGAGAGAGTGTCTGTAGCCTCGTCTGTAGAGAGTGTGTCTGTAGAGAGTGTGTCTGTAGAGAGTGTGTCTGTAGCCTCGTCTGTAGAGAGTGTGTCTGTAGAGAGAGTGTCTGTAGCCACGTCTGTAGAGAGAGTGTCTGTAGCCTCGTCTGTAGAGAGAGTGTGTCTGTAGAGAGTGTCTGTAGCCTCGTCTGTAGAGAGTGTGTCTGTAGAGAGTGTGTCTGTAGCCTCGTCTGTAGAGAGAGTGTCTGTAGCCTCGTCTGTAGAGAGAGTGTCTGTAGAGAGTGTGTCTGTAGAGAGTGTGTCTGTAGCCTCGTCTGTAGAGAGAGTGTCTGTAGAGAGTGTGTCTGTAGAGAGAGTGTCTGTAGCCTCGTCTGTAGAGAGTGTGTCTGTAGCCTCGTCTGTAGAGAGAGTGTCTGTAGCCTCGTCTGTAGAGAGAGTGTCTGTAGAGAGAGTGTCTGTAGCCTCGTCTGTAGAGAGAGTGTCTGTAGCCTCGTCTGTAGAGAGAGTGTCTGTAGCCTCGTCTGTAGAGAGTGTGTCTGTAGAGAGTGTGTCTGTAGCCTCGTCTGTAGAGAGAGTGTCTGTAGAGAGTGTGTCTGTAGCCTCGTCTGTAGAGAGTGTGTCTGTAGCCTCGTCTGTAGAGAGTGTGTCTGTAGCCTCGTCTGTAGAGAGAGTGTCTGTAGCCTCGTCTGTAGAGAGTGTGTCTGTAGCCTCGTCTGTAGAGAGTGTGTCTGTAGAGAGAGTGTCTGTAGCCTCGTCTGTAGAGAGTGCGGTAAAGACCTTTTGGGCAGGCATGGCAGCCATTACCTGGTTAGACAGCTGAGCTGGCTTGAGCGATCGCATGTTTTGGTGGTATGACACCATTTGTGGCTGAGGGAGTTCCAGCAGGAGATTGTGAATTAAATAAAGAAGTGGTCTGATAGATGTAGAGGGGTGACAGTCAGGTTTGCTGTGGAGCAGTTCAGGATTAAATCAAGAGTGTTGCCAGCTTTGTGGGTAGGAGGAGTTGGGACCTGCATGAGGTCAAATGAGGATAGGAGAGCAAGGAAGTCTGTTGCCTGGTTTCAGTTGTGTTGTGTTAGCATGCTAATGTTAGCGCTCTTCAGTCAGCTCGTAGCTTCACATTGTTGTGTTAGCATGCTAATGTTAGCGCTCTTCAGTCAGCTCGTAGCTTCACATTGTTGTGTTAGCATGCTAATGTTAGCGCTCTTCAGTCAGCTCGTAGCTTCACATTGTTGTGTTAGCATGCTAATGTTAGCGCTCTTTAGTCAGCTCGTAGCTTCACATTGTTGTGTTAGCATGCTAATGTCTTTGCTTATAGTCATTGAAGTCAGCGGACTGTTTGGATTTTTGTCATTTTCTCTCTGCTGACCTCAGCCCTGCTCTTTGCTCTCTTGTGACTTCTGTGAGCCATGGGCGAGGGTGGGTTTTGTGAGCGGGTTTGGACACCAGAGGGCAGAGCTTGTTCAGAGATGAGGTCAGTGTGGAGCAGAGTGTGTCTGTAGCCTCGTCTGTAGAGAGTGTGTCTGTAGAGAGTGTGTCTGTAGCCTCGTCTGTAGAGAGTGTGTCTGTAGCCTCGTCTGTAGAGAGTGTGTCTGTAGAGAGTGTGTCTGTAGCCTCGTCTGTAGAGAGTGTGTCTGTAGAGAGTGTGTCTGTAGCCTCTTCTGTAGAGAGTGTGTCTGTAGCCTCGTCTGTAGAGAGTGTGTCTGTAGCCTCGTCTGTAGAGAGAGTGTCTGTAGAGAGTGTGTCTGTAGCCTCTTCTGTAGAGAGTGTGTCTGTAGAGAGTGTGTCTGTAGCCTCGTCTGTAGAGAGTGTGTCTGTAGCCTCGTCTGTAGAGAGTGTGTCTGTAGAGAGAGTGTCTGTAGAGAGAGTGTCTGTAGAGAGAGTGTCTGTAGAGAGTGTGTCTGTAGAGAGTGTGTCTGTAGCCTCGTCTGTAGAGAGTGTGTCTGTAGAGAGAGTGTCTGTAGAGAGAGTGTCTGTAGAGAGTGTGTCTGTAGAGAGTGTGTCTGTAGCCTCGTCTGTAGAGAGAGTGTCTGTAGCCTCGTCTGTAGAGAGAGTGTGTCTGTAGCCTCGTCTGTAGAGAGTGTGTCTGTAGCCTCGTCTGTAGAGAGTGTGTCTGTAGCCTCGTCTGTAGAGAGTGTGTCTGTAGAGAGTGTGTCTGTAGCCTCGTCTGTAGAGAGTTTGTGTCTGTAGCCTCGTCTGTAGAGAGAGTGTGTCTGTAGCCTCGTCTGTAGAGAGTGTGTCTGTAGAGAGAGTGTCTGTAGCCTCTTCTGTAGAGAGAGTGTCTGTAGCCTCGTCTGTAGAGAGAGTGTCTGTAGCCTCGTCTGTAGAGAGTGTGTCTGTAGCCTCGTCTGTAGAGAGTGTGTCTGTAGCCTCGTCTGTAGAGAGAGTGTCTGTAGCCTCGTCTGTAGAGAGTGTGTCTGTAGCCTCGTCTGTAGAGAGTGTGTCTGTAGAGAGAGTGTCTGTAGCCTCGTCTGTAGAGAGTGCGGTAAAGACCTTTTGGGCAGGCATGGCAGCCATTACCTGGTTAGACAGCTGAGCTGGCTTGAGCGATCGCATGTTTTGGTGGTATGACACCATTTGTGGCTGAGGGAGTTCCAGCAGGAGATTGTGAATTAAATAAAGAAGTGGTCTGATAGATGTAGAGGGGTGACAGTCAGGTTTGCTGTGGAGCAGTTCAGGATTAAATCAAGAGTGTTGCCAGCTTTGTGGGTAGGAGGAGTTGGGACCTGCATGAGGTCAAATGAGGATAGGAGAGCAAGGAAGTCTGTTGCCTGGTTTCAGTTGTGTTGTGTTAGCATGCTAATGTTAGCGCTCTTCAGTCAGCTCGTAGCTTCACATTGTTGTGTTAGCATGCTAATGTTAGCGCTCTTCAGTCAGCTCGTAGCTTCACATTGTTGTGTTAGCATGCTAATGTTAGCGCTCTTCAGTCAGCTCGTAGCTTCACATTGTTGTGTTAGCATGCTAATGTTAGCGCTCTTCAGTCAGCTCGTAGCTTCACATTGTTGTGTTAGCATGCTAATGTTAGCGCTCTTCAGTCAGCTCGTAGCTTCACATTGTTGTGTTAGCATGCTAATGTTAGCGCTCTTTAGTTAGCTCGTAGCTTCACATTGTTGTGTTAGCATGCTAATGTTAGCTCTCTGTAGTTAGCTCGTAGCTTCACACTGTTGTGTTAGCATGCTAATGTTAGCACTCTGCTCGTAGCTTCACATTGTTGTGTTAGCATGCTAATGTTAGCGCTCTTTAGTTAGCTCGTAGCTTCACATTTCATGTAAACTGACACAGAATGAGCGTGATCTAAAAACTCTTACTAACATCCAAATAATCAGTGAGTATGTTCTTCTTCTTCTCTCTAGTTCTTGACTAAAACAGCTTTTATACACAAGGGGAGGAGCCGGCCGTCCCGTCCATGTAAACACGGCTCTGACAACAACACAGCCAGCGGGACTCGAGCTTCTCCCTCATTGTAGACAGTCAGGACTCAGAGATATTTACACAGGACACACTTTATGATTTGTGGAACATGTTACCTCCCTTTAAGAACTTGTATTTGAATCTGCATCACATTGAGTTGCCATGTGTGTAAATCAGAGATCAGTGTAAGTTTTGTTCATGCAGCAGCGTAGGAAGAGTTTCTGATGAAGTTTGAGGGAGAGTCGATCATTTCTCTCGTTTCCTTCAAGAGGACTAAAATGTGGTCCCTTAAAACCACAATGAGGTGAAGTGAAAACGATGCGTCTGTCTAGACGAGGTTTCTGTTGTTTTTTTTCATTTTTATTCTGAACGTGACCTGGAAAAGACTTTTCCGGCCCCCGACTGAGCCGCTCACACGTTTCCTCAGGATAAAGATCTCAGTCTAAACAGGGTTTCCTCTCACTGCCAGCAGGATCAGGATGTTCTTAATACAAACTCAATATAAAGAAAAATCTGCTTCAGACTGAACAGAACTCAGCTATCAGGGTTTTCACAGAAACAGAGGGAAGTGACCTCTTTACATCTGGTTTAGGCTCCTTGCTTTGGCTACCACTCTGTTTCCTGGCCTCCAACCGCGACATACATCCAACTTCTTACTCGGACCAGCTCCTGGTTCAGGCTCTGGTGATATCACGCATTGAATTTCACAGCCCCTTACTGGCAGGTCTTCGTATGCTCAATATCAAACCCCTGCAGATGATCCCAAAACGCAGCAGCCCGACTCTTCAAATTTAAAACTCTGCTGCTCGCTTACAAAACAGACACAGAAACGTCTCCTCCTCCTTTAACTCTCTGATCCAGGTCTACACTCCCTCCCCCCCACTACGCTCTGTTAATGAAAGGCGTCTGATCCAACCTTCACAACAGGGTCCTAAGTCTCTGACTAGACTCTTCTCCTCTGTCGCCCCCCGGTGGCGAAACAAACTTCCAAACTCCATGTGATCTGCAGAGTCCCTCTGCACCTTTAAGACAAAAATCTAAAGACCCAGCTCTTTCATGAATACCTACTAACTTAATGATGATGATGATATTTAGGATGGTTCTGATGCTGATTAGAACTCTCAAGGTCAGCTGTGGGTGTTGTGCTCACTTCCTGTCAGCACCTCTGGTCACTTCCTGTCAGCACCTGTGTGTTCAATCAGACTTAAAGCTGTTTGTCTGCACTTCCTGTCGTTGTCTCCTCTCTAGATCCTCCCTTGTGTCGTTCTTTCTCTCTGATGTTCGTCGCTTTGGATAAAAGTGTCTGCTAAAAGAATACTTGACCTCAAACATCAACAAAGCGTGATCATTTCCTGTAGAAATATGTTTCTTGAAACATCCTTTTAATGCCCTTCTAATAGAGAAACTAATTAGAATTTGCTTATTTCAGCTTTAACGACCTGCTTGTTGTGAAAAAGCTTTTTTCTATGAGCTAAGAAAGTTCTCAAAACAAAAGAAAAGTTGTTGTGATTATAATCCAACGTCTGTCTGTGTGTGTGATCCTGCAGGTCAGAGCGACGGAGAGGGAAGAAGAAGTGAGTAACTGCAAACACACACACACACACACACACACACACACACACATAATCTTGTCTGGTTTAAGGAAACCAAACATCTTGAACATTTCCTTGTAGCAGATTTATGGCTGCAGTGTTGTTCTTTTATTTACAAAGATTGTTATACTTGAGTTTTGGTGGATCTTTGGGTGTATACTCAGTTTTTAACAAAAGTCTACCATAGTATTGTAAAAAAAAAACTAGTGCTGACGTGCTGTAAAATCTGGTGCATTGGACGCACTTCTAAAACATATTTTTCATCTAAAATGTCGACTGCGTCCGAATCATCCAGGCGATCACAGTCGGTGCATCGCTAGTGAAAACTGAAAAACTCACACAGAGGACTTCTCTGTGAGTCGGCGAGTGTTCTTATTCTGCGTCTGATTCAGAGCAGAAAACACTCCGCAGTGTAACGTGTGTGTCCTGCACTCACCGACTCTGGCACGCAACAAAGACCCCCGGGGGTCCGTTTCACAGGGTTTATGAAACCCCAACATCTGATTTGCTGCGTTCTTATCTTGAGGGGTTTTTTTTAAATATCAAAACAAAACCTGTACTTGTAACACATGCTGGAGCCTGTGAGAGCCCTGAAGGAGTCGTGAATCATTTCTTACTACAACTCAGGAGCAGCTGAGCCTCGGAGCAGATCGAATGCCTGAATGTTTACACTCTCTTGTGTTTTGTCCCTCAGTGTTTCCGTACCCTGTCCCCCCCATCGAAGAGAACATGTTAGACGAGGGGAAACTTCTCAAACCCTGGGACAACAAGAAGGTAAACACACACATTTTGTAGTTTCCTGTTTTTCATTCATTTTGTAACAACTGTTTGATCTGAAATATTATTCATGTTTATTTTATTTTAAAGATGAGATAACACTTTGTTGATCCCCAGAGGGGAAATTAGGGCATTGCAGCAACACAAGACAAGTAGCAAGTAGGTAGAAAAAATCAAAACAGATAAATGCAAATAAATTGGAGGCAAACACAACTGGAATATAAAGGAGCGCAGTAAACAGGACGATTAAGACATGATGTGCACTGAGTGGTCGAGCATTGACTAAGCTGCAACCTCTGGTGTTGAAACATGAAGCCAACGCTGAAGTGTTAAATCCTGCAGTTCCTGGAGTGTCCACTAGAGGCTGGCTGCAGAAGCACAGGAAGTCACATACACACCCATTCTAAAAAGCCTGTTTTTACAGCAGAGATGAACATGTTTACAGCCTGGTTCAAAAAACCAAATAGGTGTGATTAGCTCATGTCTGGATGGACACACACTGTACGGGGGGTGAATGTTTTGATGACTCATCAGTTTTGATTTGATGAAGGATAAGAGTTATTCACAATAAGGCGTGTAGCTGACCTGATTGACAGGTGGGCGCGGTGTAACGGTTTGTCAGGAGGTTTAAAACCCGCCTCAGCTCCAGCTCTCAGCCTGTCGTTAGGTTGACTGAAAGTTAGACTGAGACAGCATTTCCAGCATGGAGACCGCCATCGATGGGACTCCAGCGCCCCCTGCAGGGACAGACAGAGACCGCCATCGATGGGACTCCAGCGCCCCCTGCAGGAACAGACAGAGACCGCCATCGATGGGACTCCAGCGCCCCCTGCAGGAACAGACGGGGGACGCCATCGATGGGACTCCAGCGCCCCCTGCAGGAACAGACGGGGGGCGCCATCGATGGGACTCCAGCGCCCCCTGCAGGAACAGACAGAGACCGCCATCGATGGGACTCCAGCGCCCCCTGCAGGAACAGACAGAGACCGCCATCGATGGGACTCCAGCGCCCCCTGCAGGAACAGACAGAGACCGCCATCGATGGGACTCCAGCGCCCCCTGCAGGAACAGACGGGGGACGCCATCGATGGGACTCCAGCGCCCCCTGCAGGAACAGACGGGGGACGCCATCGATGGGACTCCAGCGCCCCCTGCAGGAACAGACGGGGGATGACACTCAGACTTTGTCCGTTAATATTTACAGTCTGTTGCATGGACACATAGAGCTGCAGGTGGTTGCTGGGCTGGGTGGGTGTTTTCCTGTAACTGCTGTCAGAGAGGGTATGCTCTTCTAGTGAGTCCAGGAGGAGCGGAGCTGCAAAGAACATTTCTACAGACTCTACCTTTGATTTAGGACAAAGGGTTAATAAAGACTGTTTTTCACCTGTTCTCTCCAGTTGCCTCTGCTGACGTCCCGACCCAAGTCCTGTGAAGTCCCCGGCATCAAGTAAGTGTAAAACCCGTTTCAGGAACTTTTCACAGGAACCTGTGGAGGAACATGAATGTACCTGACTCCAGAAGCTCTAGTGACAGTACAGACATGTGAAAATGATGACACATTTCTGAAGATAGTGTGGGCACCCTTTCTGCAATCAGCCAATTAGATCACTGGGAAGAGCATCTAAGAAGGATTGACAAATATTTCAAAAGAGTTTTTTTTATAACCTTTCAAAGGAGC